AATTTTAGATAATGATTTGATTTATATTTTATGTGTTACTCTTCCAGTCCTTAATATAGAACATAATTATTAAGTTGATTTTGGTCCTAAATATAAGAACTATTTTTCTTATTTATAATTTTTTTTCTAAATTATTACTATGAATATTCCCTCAACCATAATCACGTAAAAGAGAGAGAGATGATATTAAGAAAGATGATTATGGTGTTTTAAGAAAAGCGTATTATATTTCTTATAATTAACTAACTTATCTAACTTTTTTAATCTAATTAAACTAGATAAATATGTTTTATATTAAGGACCCGAGGAATATTATCTCTAGCAATGAAGATCATATCAATGATGTTGCTATTCTTTAGGATTGAAAAAATGAAATTTTGTAAACTGGCCTAAAATTTCGTGCGGCCTCACCCTCCTACGTAAAGACTGAGTTTTGTAAAATGGCTCCCGCGGCCCGTTAAAGGCCGGCCTATTTCCCAGTCCCACTGTTGACGCACCTTTACCAGATCTTTCGTTTCAGACGGAGGGAGGAAGTGACGGAGGGAGTAGCAAAATCCTCTCGGTCACGGCCAACCAAACAAACATCCGTTTTGGCTTTCCCGGTTCCCACAAAGGAATTTCCGAGAGAAAGGTCAAAGCAGATCAAACGGGTAATATCTCTCCCTTCCCCTTTTGGTTAATCCATTTCATGTCGTGCCATAGGCGAGTTTTATTCTAGAACTACGATATTTTTTAAAATGAAAATTCTAGTATGAATTTTAGTCCATCCCATGTTGTTCTGATTTTTCATTGAAGTAAATTCATTTCGAGAATGGGATGGTTTACTATGATTTCTCTTTGTGAATTCTACAGATTCACCTTCGATAGCAATAATATTCTGTTTCCGTAATCCCTGTTGTTGATTGATCTAATTTAATGTTTATGCCATATGTATATAAAAAACATTTAAAACAATGAGAACTGGGGAATAATATGATTATATCAGTATAATAAATACCCTGCACAGTTTTCATTTACGTATTATATTTTCCCATAAGCGTAACCAACAGGGCCTCCTTGTCATGCGATGAATCAAAGAAAATTCAGACCCAAATAAATTTTTAAAAAATGAGATGTTAAATTATGTTCTTGACTTATTTGAGTTGACCCCTAAAGACAGAAATTCCTCTTCAATATGTTGGGTTGAGCCACGTCATCTCATGTGACAGAGTTTTGAACTTTGAAAACCCTCACATCAATTTTAACGAATTTTATACATAACAGATGATAGATTGGATGTATTTTGCTGATAAAATCTTCAAACAGGCACTTTTAAAACTTCTCCTACTAAAATTTATCGAATACCTATATACACCGTTACATTTTAGTTATGTACATATAGCAATGTATTCTACAAGATGTGGAAGATGAAAAATTATGTTTTAAGAGAAATAAAGGGAGGTCAAAAAACTTAATTTAGAGAATTATTATTGAGAAATAATTTAATTTTTTCAAAGGACATGTATATCAACTAATAATGTTTACATGTCATTGTCATTTCTATTTACATATACATCAAGTTGCAAATTTTTAAGATGCCGTTGGAAGATGTCGAAGCCGACAAAATTTGAAGACTTTACAAATCCTGACTCACAAGTTCATAAATTGATATTTACGTGCCTCAATATATTTACAATCTTTGATTTTAAAGTTACTTATTTGTAATAAATATCAGTTATTTTTTCTAACATACTCTTTTTAATTATGCTTACTTGTATTTGGCTCAACAGAGAGAAGGGGGGAAAGGAGAGGGTAGCTATAAAAGGGAGGGGAGGGAGAGGGGAGGGAGGGAAGATATTTTAATGATCTCCTATTTGGATTGATTGGAGGGGAGGGGAGGGAGCAATTTTAATGATATCTTACTTTGTTTTAATAAAAAATTAACTATTTTAACCTCATAAAATTTAAATGAATTTTCTCACTATTTTATTTTATTAAGATATAACTATATATATATTGCAACTCACCAATTTTGACTTGCAAGAAAACAGTCATACACTTATAGGATATCAAGATAAAAAGTCAAAAGTAATAGATTTCAATCAAATAAAAGACCTTGAAATTGAAAGAAAATACTAACGGCCTCTTGGAATTAGAATAAGAGGGAAAAAAAAAGATTCACAAATGCTCACTAATTGTAGAGACAATTATCTCAACAACCTCTTGCTAGATGTTCAAGAAAACTCTCTTATGTAGAAATATTTACGACTGATTAGGGGTTAACAAATCGAAAAGATATATGAGGAATTAAAATATTATCTCTTATCTCCCCTCCAAAAAACGCCACTTTTGGAGGGGAGGCTAGAAGGGAAGATGAGGGGAGAAGAACCCCTCCCTTCTTTAAAAAATATCTTAACCAAACAAAAGAAGAGGAGCAACTCTCCTCCCTTTCTAAAAAATTTTACTAGCCAAATAAGGAGAGGGGAGCAACTTCCCTCCCTTCCCCTTCAAAAACCCCATACCAAACAGTGTTAGATGGAAACATCCTTAATAAATGTAATCAATATGGGATATCTTGGATAATAAATTATAAATTTGAAAGACAAAATAAATTAAAATCTTATATTTATGACCAAATTCACCCCACTAACTTGTATATTAAAGAGCGAAAATATATTAAATTATGCAAATAATGTATCTAATTTGGTTCAAAATCAATAAGGAATTTTAAAATTTATAAATTTGGATAGAAAACACATTTGCTTTTCATTAATACATTACTTCACAACCATCGCAATATCATCTTTCATCAAGCACAAACTTTATAAAATTTTACTCTTTTTTCTTCTGTGTTGTCATCTCTGAACTCGAGTTATAAAGCTAATATTTTGACTACATAAAAAGAGTTTTTTTTAAAGTTTTCTTAAGAAATAAATGGATATTAAATTGGGTGGATTAAAACAATTTTTTTTTTGGCTATTAATTGAATGACGCGCTAAAAGGTTTGGAAATGAGAAAATGGTCCTCCATGGTGGAAGCGTCCAGCACGCTATGGTGACAGTGAATGCAAGACTTTTCTCCTCCCTTTAAACATACCTTACAATATGCTATCTCCCGGTTCTTAATATAAAAATTATATAATAGATTCTTTTTAGTTTTAAATATAAAATATTAACTTATTTTGTCTCCAAAATTCATAATTTTTACCTCATATGATCCCTATTATATTATAACTGTACATGTTAAAAGGTTTCTATTAAATAGGACTTATTCGGTTCTAAATATAAAACCCTTTTTATAGTATAATTTACACTATGAAAGGGGTTTAAATTACACTATGAAAGGGGTCTTATATTTAGAACCAAAGGAGTAGTACTTATTTATTATAAATAACTAATTTAATTAATTTTTATAATATTCACATATCAGTTATATCTAATTTTTATATTAAGAATGGGAGGTATAATATATACATCCGCGCATGCATGCATCCATCAATGCATAGATACATACATAGAGATATATATATACACACAAACACACATGGAACGAAGGAATCACACACACGATTAAGTGGGAACAGTGTGAAGGAGATCGAATGAGAAGATGAAGATGGAACTTGGCATTTCAAGGCTCTCAAGTCTTGTTCCAATCCTGTTCTCCATTGTTGTAATAGGCTGCTGCTTGATTGCTGCTGAAGGTGGTGATGACTGCCAAGAGAGTGGCAAGTTGCCAGGGAAGAACCCCCCACCTGGGAAATGCAACGAAGACGACAACTCAAAGTGCTGTGCAGAAGGCGAGAGCTATTCCATCTTCCAGTGTTCGCCGCCGGTGACTGAGCAGACAAAGGCCATCCTAACCTGAACAGCTTTCAGGAAGGCGGAGACGGCGGAGGGCCATCAAGTGCGACAACATGTATCACTCCGACGCCGAAGCGGTGGTGGCACTTTCAACAGGATGGTTCGGGTCCGACGACATAATAGGTGCCACAAGAGCATCATTATCTCCGGCAACGGAAAGGAGGTGAAGGCGACGGTGGTGGATGAGTGTGACTCCACACAAGGCTGTGATGAAGAGCACGATTTCCAGCGTCCATGCCGTAATAATGTCGTCGATGCTTCCAAAGCAGTTTGGAAGGCTTTGGGTGTGGACGAAAACGGCAAGGACGAGCCTGAAATTGAATGGTCGGAAGCATAGAGGATATAGTCACGAGAAGTGATATGTATTCCTACAATAATCTATCTCTATGCACTGGGGGCTGGTTTCCAGTTATATATTTGGCCACATGCCAATTATATATTTTTAAAATCTTTAACATGCAAAATTGATCCAAATTTTGCAGAAAATAACAGTTCTAAAAACCTATCATTTCATAAAACTTAGCTTTGGATCGTAAGGATCCGAACTAGATGGTTTCAAAACTCAAAACCACTGACTCATTTTCTTCTTCTATGAAGCAAGGATGGAGATTTTCGCACGAGATCTGCAGAGTGAAATTCGTCAGAGTTAACAGTCGCTTTACGTTTCGCCGGTCGATCGTTAAACCCGTTCAATTTGTCCGAACTTGGCGGTCCCCAAAAAAACACATAAAAAGAAACTGTTAAAGAATGGTTGGAGTATACATTTCACCTTATTTGTTAACGATTTTAGAATTAAAAACTAAATATTTTTTAAAGTTAAGAGATAATCCAAACTGAAATTTTTGTGTAAAGTTAAAAGGTATACTTTAGCCAACATAAAACTAGTTAAAAAAAAACCGAGAATTTATTAGGGAAAATGACAGATAAAGAAGCCTGAAATAATAAAATGCCAAAATGGGAAGCTAAGCAAATGTATTACCAGATAGGGAAGTGTTGCCTGATTTGGGATTATGCAAATGTTGCACAATTATGAAACAGCCCCTCATATGCAAACCGAAAAAGTGACCGGTGGAAGTGTGCAAGTTGTGGCGGGAGTTGGAGGAAAAAGTTGGGAGGGACCACGAACGTGGGAGCATGAACGCGCGAAGCAACAACTGAACGATGGAAGCGAGGTTAGTATTCAGTGACTATATTGTTCGCCTCTGTCTTTTGTCCCTCTCCTTTATGCGCCGGTTGATTTTCCTCTTCCCGTTGGATGGCAATGTCGTCGATGTGGGGATGGTTTTGAGGTGGAGAGGGTGGCGAAGCATGGAGACGGCGTGGGTATATAGAAAGTGTGGGGAAGGACAGTGATCAGAGGGTGAATGCATGGGGAAGGAAAAACACTGAGGGAGAGGGGTTTGATGGCGTCACAAGTGGGTTAGAGTGATTAGTGTCAGATAAATGGACAATGTTGGAGGGAGATTCGAATAATGGAGTGGATTGATTCTGAGAAAATGAAGCATTAGTGTGGACAGGAAAGAAATGAGTGTTTTGTTGCAAATTATAAGCATGAATGTGTCAAACCCTAAGTTGGTCGTGTAAGTTGATGATGATGGTATTAAGTCATATAATCATTCGACTTTTGTTATCAGTGCAGGTAATGAAGATAAATGAATTTCGAAGCTGGGTCATCTTGTGGGAAGGAGCTGTTCTGTTGTTTTCATGTGGGGGGGAATTTGTGACAAATGGTGAAGGTGAAGTGAGATATAATGGAGGTGGCGTGAGGTTAAGAAGCATTAAGGATGGGCTGACACTTGATGAATTGAGGCTAATGATATCTGAGTGGATTGGTGGTGATGGAAGAAATTATGACATTAAGTACACAGTGGCCTTTGATGAGAAGACATTGATTGACCTTCATGACAATGCTGAAATGTATAACCTCTTTCAATACAATGGGAACAGCGGTCATGTGTATGTGACCGAAAAAAGACAAGTGGGTCCCCAACCAAGGGACAATGTAGAAATGTAAGTGGAAGTTTGTCCTAACTATTTGTTGTCATTTATGAATTTCTTCTTGTCATTTGTGTTAACGAGTCTTGTCATTATGAATGCAGAACAGAGAGATTCATGGGCATGTCACAGCAAACAGAACTGGATGCGTCTCCCATTAGTTTGTGTTGTGATTATGGCTAGCTCAGTGAAGAAAATGCTCGTGAATGTGACAATGATGAAATAAGTGGGCCCCCTAATGTGGATAAATCTATCGGAGCTGAAGATACGGATGGTAGTGAGATGGTTCATGCGGAATGGAGGGGACTTTTAACAGGAGTGGGCCAACGTTTTCCTAGTGCAGATGTATTTCGGGTGTCTGTATACAAGTTTGCACTTGCAAACAAGTTTGTGGCCAAGTATATGAGGAATAGCAAGGAATTCATGTCGATAAGGTGTAAAGTTGAGGGTTGTCCATGGAAGCTATGTGCAAATCATGTGGGGAAGAGTTGTGATGTGCTACGAGTGACGACATTTATAAACCGGCATGTTCATTCTGCCCAAGATAGCTTGGACGTGATGCATAGTGGAAGAGCTAGTTTGAACTCATCAATAATAATTGATGAGATGAGGGATCATGCAGACAAGCGCACTTCTAAGATAAGGAAGAGGTTGAAACGAGAGTATGGGATTGATCTAACATATAAACAGGCTTATAGAGCAAGAGAGAAGTCACTGGAAGACATATATGGCAGGCCTGAACAATCATACATGCTCATACCATGGGTATGCGAAAGGATAAAGGAAACAGATGAAAAATCAGTGGCTGAATGGACTGCTATTGGGAACCGGTTTGAGCGTGTTTTCATTGCCTATGGGGCATGCATTGAGGGTTTCTTGGGTGGCGCGAGGCATATTATGTATGTTGATGGAACTCACTTAAGCGGACCATACAAGGGGACAATGTTGTCAGCTTCAGCTTATGATGCAGATAACGAGCTGCTGCCATTTGCAATTGCAATTGTGAAGGGAGAAACACTAGATGACTGGACGTTTTTTCTATATGATAAAAAAAATCCTGGGTTCTGTGGAAGTAACGATTGTATCAGATCGACACAATGTTATCATCGGAGGAGTGGCATCAATCTTTGGGGGTCAAAGACATGCCTTTTGTTATAGACACATCAAGGAGAATTTTAGTTCAGAAGTTATGAAAATGAATAAGGGGCAAACAAGGACAAATGGCCGATCAAAGGAGGATGCACTATATTTATTGGATAAAATTGCATACGCAAGGACGGATGAGAAATTTGAGGCAGCAATGGATGACATGAGATCCTTTTCTCCAAGGCTATTTGATTGGCTTATTCATCATGGGGATGTAGATAGGTGGGCTAAAAGTAGGTTCCCATATAAAAGATGGGACAATATTACAAGTAATATAGCAGAATCATTCAATGCATGGATGGTGAATGAGAGAAAGCATACTGTACCCCAATTGATCTATGAGCACCGAGATAAAGTTGCAAGAAAGCTGCATGCCTCCTATGTGGCTATGACCAAATGGAAGAATTGCGTTGGTCCAAATATAGAGAGTAAGGTGCTGGATATGGTGGCTGGGTCTGACCATATGTATGCTGAAAATTATGGTGGGGGAAGAGTGAAGGTGACAACATCACGTGGAGACCATCGGGTTGATCTTGGACTACACCAATGCAGTTGCAGATCTTGGCAAATGACGGGGATCCCTTGTTCCCATGCTTGTGCTGCCATCAAGATTGTGCACGGCAATGTTTATGATTATATTGATAATTGCTATAAAAAGTCATCACAAGAAAAGATCTATGCTCGCAGTATGATTCCTGTGGTAACAACAGACATGCCTCACCCAAATGACTACTATAGAATAGAAAATGTCAGTGAGCAAGTTTTCTTGCTACCTCCCATGACATCCCGACCACCAGGAAGGCCAAAAGTAAACAGGGATGAATCACAGTTCCAGAACAAACGGATATACCACTGTGGAAGATGCCACCAGCCTGGACACACAAGGAGGAATTGCAGAAATCCTAACCCATCATGAAGTTTCGAGTACAGTGGGGATGGGTCATTTTTGGTGTACATAGTTGTATGCTCCGCCCTTGTCAACTTTTTTGGGACTGGGGTTGTAGTTAGGAGCTAGGTGGAGACATTTTTTTGTAAGTAAGCTGATAGAAATTTCAGTGATAACGAAGCATTAAGTGTGGCTAGTATCTTAATGTCCACTTGTTGTTGAATACATGAAAGGAAGTTACTGTTATGGGGATGTTAGCTTTTGTTAATGGCGCATTACTTGTTGTCATTTTTAAATTTGTTCTGGTCATTGGCAGTGATGCTATCAGCATAAGCTGACAGCCGTGTTGAACTGATGTTGTAAAATCAGACCAGGTTATCCTTATCATTATCGCTGTCATATTCGCTTCACATGGTGTCATTTTTAAATTTGTTCTGGTCATTGGCAGTGATGCTATCAGCATAAGCTGACAGCCGTGTTGAACTGATGTTGTAAAATCAGACCAGGTTATCCTTATCATTATCGCTGTCATATTCGCTTCACATGGTGTCATTTTTAAATTTGTTCTGGTCATTGGCAGTGATGCTATCAGCATAAGCTGACAGCCGTGTTGAACTGATGTTGTAAAATCAGACCAGGTTATCCTTATCATTATCGCTGTCATATTCGCTTCACATGGTGTCATTTTTAAATTTGTTCTGGTCATTGGCAGTGATGCTATCAGCATAAGCTGACAGCCGTGTTGAACTGATGTTGTAAAATCAGACCAGGTTATCCTTATCATTATCGCTGTCATATTCGCTTCACTTGGTGTCATTTTCTGTTGGATACCAACAGGATATATTGAAGTAAAATTTAGTGACCTGAACAAAAAATGAAAACCAATAGCACATGTCCAATGGGGTTGTTGTCATCATCTGTTTTGGTGTGGTTAAAACCAGATTCATTCATGTCACTGGGGAATAAATTGGCATCATGGTTCTCAACTATCATACATTTATGGACACCAATCTCTGTTAACCATAACAATACACAGTAAATTTTTGGTCAGCCTACAATGCACATTACATACAGCAATCTAACAGAGGACAAGTGAATTATGACTCTAACATCGAGACACCTAAGACCGACGCCTTTTCTTGGACTTTGTGCTCTTGGTTGGTTGTGGTCGTCGAATAAGGGCCAATGCCTCGTCACGTTTTTCATTCTGTTCATGATTCACCAACCACCATGTCAGGTCACGACGAAAGCCAGCAACTTCTTCCTCTGTGTAGGTAAGGGTCACACCAGGTTCCCATCTTCTCAGCCACATCATGCAGTGCACCCCACAATCCCTCCTGTGGACGCAACAATATCAGCACAGTTAGTTAACACATCTGACATGTGCATTTACCCCACAGAAATCGAATTTGACAAAACTGACAGGTTATTCTGCTGGGGAACTTCTGCAAATATCATGGGAGACATTGGCTTTTTCCCAACCAATCCTGGCTTGACCAAGTCCAGTATAATATTGAGCCTCATCCTCTGCAACAACATTCAGGACCAACATAGAAAGTTTAATGATTTTCCAAGTTCAAAAACTAGGGTAAAGATAATGAGTTTTTTCTTACACAGTCATCCACAGCCATTTCCACTGGGTCTTTGATGACAACCTTCTTCTTCTGCTTTCTGTCCTTGGTTCCGAAATGGTTCCTCATGGAGTCTATTACGTGGAAATCCAATGTGCTAGGCTGAATGGCAACGCAAAACCAGTGTTGGCCAACAAGAGCAGGACCAATTATGAAATCACATTCAGCTAAGTTGTAGCCAAGGAACTCAGGAAGAAAGAGCTTCTTATATTTTTGGGCTTTCCAGGTTGGATCATGTGCCATCATGTTCTGCATGACATGAAATTGTTAATCCATTAACAGAGAACAAGTCATTTCCAATTCAATTGCTGTCATTGGTATTTGCATTTGGAATTATGCAACCTCACCATGAAATCAACATCGAAAATGTGCCTCTTCCCTGGCCCCAACTCTGCCTTCATGTCCTCCATCACTGCCTTGCACACCAAATTAAGCACCTACAGAACACAAGTGAAAACGTCATTCTGGTACAATAATCTCACCAAACATTATCAAACATAATCATGGGTGCAGGGACAGAGCATTCTAAAATACCCTGTTATTTACTCTGTTCACTCCACCCAGGGAAAACAGCTGTTGTCGGTCTATATCTTCATCAAACATTTTGATGACAGTCCTGCAAACATTGTCAGATGTCAGTGACAGAAAGTATGGTGTTGGGGACATCAATACTTGTCATTCCCATGTATTTTATTGTCATTTTCAATTCTATTGCTGTCATTGTCAGGGCACACTGTGTCATTTAAAAACAAAACGCTAGCTAGGGATATACTTACATATTCCCCTCTTCCTCTCCCTTGGGTCTACGGGATATTAAAGTGAAAAAGATGTCCCTTTCCTCCTTTGGCCTCTTCGTCCTCGGAGCTGCCTTGAATTCTATCCACGGAGATTTAATTGTGGAACTCTTTGCCCTTGTTGACCTCCTAAGGTCAATCGATTTTTCAGGCCCTCCTTCCTCCCCACTGTCACTGCTCACCCATTCGCGATCCAACAGCAAAGGAACATTGGTAGGGGTCATTGTCAGTACATGTGTAGCTTCCTCACCCTCATCATCTGAATCCCGAACCTCCTTATCATCATCTTCGGCCTCCTCAACCACATAATCATGACTGACTTCCATGTCATCATGGTCATCTTCCTCCTCATCAACCACATGACCTCCTTCCCTGTCATCATGGTCATCTTCCTCCTCATCCTCATCGTCGTCGTCATCACCTCCATGACCATCACGGTCACCCTCTTCTTCCACCTCCTCAACCATGTAATCATCACTGACTTCCCTGTCATGAAGGTCATGTTGTTCTTCATCCTCATCCTCATCCTCATCCTTCTCATCATCTCCTTTGCTGGTTTCATCCTCATCAAGTTCCTCATCTGCACTTCCCGCTGCAACCTCTCTTGCAATCTCCTCCACCACTCGGTCAACATCATCAGCTTCTTCAGCATCGTTACCAGCTGCATCACCAACTGTTTCAACCCCTTCTTTAGCAGTGGCATTCTCATTCCCCATCCCCTTAACTTTGGCGTTCAATCCAATCTGCAGTTTGAGTAGCTCATCATCAAGAGCCTTCATTAACGTCCTCTGGCTTTCTTCAAGCTTCTTCACAAAACGAGCCCTCAACTCCTTCAATGCCTGCATACACAGTAAATGAAGATATCAAAAAAATTGTTCACTGTTATCAAATGCCAGTATCTCACTGGTCATTTCTAAATAAAGTCTTGTCATCTCAAGTATCAACCTTGCTAATAGACTGACTTAAACTCAGGTCACGTATATTTTCTAAGTTCCCACATACCGGATCTAAAGACTGCAAAATTGGACTGTCCTCATGTCCTGCTGAGTATACCTCGCTGCCACTGCTTCCATGCAATATTCCCATGCTGCTACCTCTCTCTTTCTCCACCCTCTCCTTTATCTTCTCCTCGGTCCAATATTCAATGGCGCTTGTTGAACCCCGGTCAACAGACAATCCCAGCGGGAAACGCTCAACAAAATACAGCTGCAAAACCAAATAAAGATAGGTCACACTTCTGCAACAATAACAAAAGACAAAAATATAGTGAACCATAAGAAAAATATTGACTTACCAGCAGCAAATAAAGACACCCTCCAACATTGCAGGTTCCTTTCTTCTTCTTCTTTGTCATCTTCACAAAGTCTCCCATTTCCTTCCACAGGTTCTTGATTATGTACGTTGACCAATCATATTTCCCAAACCCATCCATCGTGTGACGCATCACTTTCAACAAACGTATATGTACAGTTGTGCTTGACCCAGGACATAGAAAAGCTCCAACTGTATAAAGCATAAATAGGAACTCAAAATTGTCGCTTTCTTCCCAGATAATATCCTCTTCAGTATCTGGGTAAATGGAACCTTCCAATAAGTGTCCTTCAACCTCTTGTATTCCGGGTCATCCTCACTAACATCAGATTTCACTTCCTCCCCACTGTCAGGTACACCTAGAAACTCATGCGCATCTTTTGCCTCAATTGCCTGCCCTTGCCCTCTAATGGTCAAAAAATGCGTTGGTGGGTCATAGCATCTCAACAATGACACAAGTAGATCACGTGGAAGTTGCTTCACATTCACATTAAGCAAGTTCCCAAATCCCATCCTCTGAACTTTCTGCCTCAACCGCTGTTCTTCTTCACATATTCAGCCAATGATAGAAATCGGGCAATGAGCACCGGGTGTACAAGGGAACATCATACTTCTTCTTCTCACCTTTCTGTGGCTTCGTTTTCCTTGCCCTCTCATTATACCTATCTTTCTCTTCTTCACTCAGGGCCCTCCATGCCTTCCCCACTTCAATTTTTTCTTCTCTTGCGTTTTTACACTTCTCACCTCGTTTTGCCATATACTCCCTTTTGAACAACACAAGCCCACTGTGGACTCCTTTGCTTGTGGACCCTTCCCCTTCTTCCAACACCATCTCGTATAGTTCTACAAAGTCATCAAGGTACCATCATTAAATCATAATTTTAATACATATACTACACATCTAGTTCTTTCCAGATTCGTTATGGTCATTTCCAATTAATTCATTGTCATTTACAATATGGCCATTACAGAGTGACAGTAAGGATGCTGCTATGAATATGGTCGTTTCCAGTTAATTTATTGTCATTACCAATATGCCCATTACAAACTAACAGTTAGGTCAGTACTATGAATATGGTCATTTCCAATTAATTCATTGTCATTTACAATATGGCCATTACAGAGTAACAGTAAGGATGTTGCTATGAATATGGTCGTTTCCAGTTAATTTATTGTCATTACCAATATGCCCATTACAGACTAACAGTTAGGTCAGTACTATGAATATGGTCATTTCCAATTAATTCATTGTCATTTACAATATCGCCATTACAGAGTGACAGTAAGGATGCTGCTATGAATATGGTCGTTTCCAGTTAATTTATTGTTATTACCAATATGCCCATTACAGACTAACAGTTAGGTCATTACTATAAATATGGTCATTTCCACTTAATTCATTGTCATTACTTGTAATATCCTAAAAAAAAAAAAAACAAAGTCCAACTTTCCACCGATATTTCGGTGGAAAGTTGGAGGGGGTGTGGAAAATTGAGGGGGGCGGTGGAAATTGGGGGTTGGGTTTGAACAACAAGCCCCTACCCCAATAATTGTGTGGGGGTGTTAAATACCCCCCACAATCCATTCTCCCCCCCCCCACGGCAGGCGCAAGAAGGAGCAAGAGAGAGAGAGAGAGAAAGGAAGTGTGTGTGAGCGAGAGAAACATACCGGTGAAGCAGAGGGCAAGCTTTGAAGATATTTTAGGTACATGAAATTATCTCTTTTCATCAAACTTTCTTCATAAATATTTCATATATATTTTATGCTTCATAATAGTAGTATTACCCTAGTGATTAGAGAAAATTTTGAGACTTATATATGATATAAGTATTGAGTTTTGATAAAAGATGACTATAGAAATTTAGAAGTAAATGAGTTGTTAATTTTAATCGGTTTAGATTTCTCTATTTGTTGGTTTTTAGTATTTAAATTAATTTTTCTAGTTGAAAAATCTGTTATATATGATTTATACCATATTTTTACCGATTAAATTTAAGTTAAATAATTTATTTGGATTGTTTGATATATTATTGAGATTTTAATCGATTTAGTTTTATTTATTGGGTGACTGGGGTTTTAAAATAATTATTGTAACTAAAAAGTTTATTATTTATGGAAATATATGTATGGTAGTTATACCATTAAAGTTTTGATTATATTATTTAGTTATAAATATTTGAAGTATTATTGAATTTTTGATAGTGTGATTTTGAGGTTTAAACTTAAATGAAGATTTTTAGAATTTAGAACATAATAATTTTATATTTGGAAATTGTTGAAAATCCTTTTTATTAAGATAAATAATTTGGAGGTGGTAAATAAATAATTTGGGGTTGTTAGAAATTTAAATAATATAGAAGTTTAATTAATTAATTAATTATTTTATATTAATATGTTGTTATATTAATTGTATAGATTAATTATTGGTTGAGCAAAGGATTGACCTTGTGGTAATCCTTAGTATTGCTTTGGCGAGAGGTAACCACTTTCCACTTGTTATATGTGCTAATATGTTGTTTGTGAGTATTTTGCTATTTTGGTATAATGATTTGTTATTTGAAACTCGAGTAGATAAATTATATCTTTTGAGCTATGAAAATTGTCTTGTGGGATTTTTGGAATTGTGATTGAGAAGTTTGGAAAAGATATATGATTTATATCTTATGGATTATACTGGGAAAATATTGAGACATTCTTGTTATATTGTGAATGGTTGGTTGTTATTTGGATTTTGGATTGAGCGCTATCCTACCACGTGGTAAGGCCGCCATTGGTGCACATTGTGGGCTTCTTCCTTCATCCCTAGAGTAAGGGATAGACCTTTGTGGCTTTTTATTCGTCCCCCAAAGTGTGGGATAGGCCTATAGGTCGGTTTGATCCCTTATAGTGAGGGATAGACTTATGTGGCTTGTGTGTTGGCCCCATAGTGAGGGTTTGGATGATTGAAATTATATTTCTATGGATATATCTATAGTTCTCGGGAATTAATAACTGTCCCATTTGACACCTCACGGGCACATGTTAGTATGTATGATGAGTTGGAAAGTTGGTTACTGAGGCGTTTGTCTCACCCCGTGGTTTAACATTTTCAGGCGGTAGTTCAGGTGGTGGCCCATCAGGGAAGGCTCCGGAGGCATAGTGCACTGTTATAGCTTGTATAGCCTCCCTGCTTTTGTTTTATGTGTTGACTTGTTATATATTGCCACATAGGGCCCATATACTCTAGTGCTGTAAAATAATACTTTTAATTACTACTATCTAGTATGATAGGGCCGTGAGGAAGCCCGAGACGTTTTAGACTCTACGTGTAACGCTCCTTTGAAAGTGTTGACTTTTGACTAATGAGCTCTATAGTTTATATTAAACTGATTTATCAGTTCGTATGGTTGAAAATATAAGTTTGGTTTGGGCTAATGGTGGAATGATATTTCTGGACTTTGGAAGTCCAAGGCCCAAGGTAACGATCGATGTTACTCTTATTATAAGTTTATTTCTTTTAACCATGATAGCGATTTTAAAATTTTAAGGTTTCTTCTTTTCTATCATGGTTAATCGTTCGAATAAATTGAAAATTTTGATCTAAATGGGTTTTAAAGGAACGGTTGTCAAATTACCAACATGGCCATTACAGTCTGACAGTAAGGTCATTACTATGAATATGGTCATTTCAAGTTCCTTCATAGTCATTTACCAGTTTGGTATTGTCATTTCTAGTTTATTCATATAATCTTTCCACTCATTCAGACAGTAAGGTCATTACTATGAATATGGTCATTTTAGGTTCGATCATAGTCATTTACCAGTATGTTATTGTCATTTCCAGTTGTTCATATAATTTTTCCAGTCAATCAGACAATTTTCCTACTGATTTCAAAAACCATTTTTCCAATTCTCAACTACGTTATTAAAAACAGAATAGCTTGCCACAGAGACTCAGCATAAACCCTTAATCGCCATTTCTATCATTCACAAACTTCATCGCGTCATATCTAAATATTACCCAATCATTGCTTCCCAGACTCACCCAGAAACGTCGACCACAGCACGAAACTTAAATGCCTGAACTTACCTCACTAAAATGCTGTTGATGCTTGTTAACTGCAATGGTGAATCACCATGTGCCAAACTTCGTCTTTCCACACAATCAGTCAGACGCGACCACGTTCGCCCTTCGAACAGCATGCCCTTCGACTTCCAACTCCTCTGCTCTCTTACGCACACACTATTTCGAGGTCCTCAACTGTCCAGCTTGCCAGTGTTTTTAGGGCAACAATGGGGATGGTGGAAGCGAGAAACTGGGAAGCACGACGGGCAGTGCACGAGTGTTCGCGCCCGCCTTCTCTCTCCCCGCTTTCAAACGCTGACTGACAGGGGCTGTTTCGTAATTGTGTAACATTTGCATAATCCTAAATCAGGCAACACTTCCCTATCTGGTAATACATTTGCTTAGCTTCCCATTTTGGCATTTTATTATTTCAGGCTTCTTTATCTGTCATTTTCCCAATTTATTAACTTGGGGAAAAAAGGGGGTCACATGTATCGTTGATGGGCCAGAATGCTTTCACCAATGTTCTAGGCTCAACAAATTCATGAGCGGATATTTTTAGGCTACTAAATTACTCGAGGAGCCCAGATGAATGTTAAGTAATAAAGTAAATCTTCGAGTTTGGCCGAAAGAACTGTTAAGAGTTTAAAATGTGAAATAAAATCATTTTCCTTAAATTCCTGTTTGTACCATTATTTTGGACACTCATGTATCAATCATAAAATCTTGAAGTAGAAAGTGATTTTCACATATTTATAAAAAAACTAAAATCCTTATGTAAATGAGAAAGGTTAAATAATTGATAACTAATTTCCAAATAACATAAGTTGATGAAATGTCTATACCAAAAGGAAAAAAGTTGGCAATAAGCGGAAAAAGGCTTGTCATGATGGTTGCTCGCTCCAGTGGCTCCCCTCCCAGGCCACCCTCGGGGGGGGGGGGGGCGTGGGAGTTTAGAGTATACTCAAGTAGCTGCAAAAAAGGTTATGTTTCCCTTGACATTTTAAAAAATAAAATAAAAGACTTAAGAGAATTAATTTAAAAAAAATGGTCCTGACAACGCGCCAGCCGTGATTGACTGAACATTGATTAAGCTTTTCTGAAAATTTGGGGTGAAAATATTTTGAAAATTAATGTTCATAGATAATTTAATAATTACTAATATAGTCAAGAAATATGGAATTTTGTGAGGTCGGTCAATTTTCAATTTGATAATTATATTTTATGCTAAAATCAAAAACAGTTTCAGCTAAGAACCTGAATAAAGTGAAACATGAGAAACCTTATACCATACTTTTTAGAAAAAGTAATTAAATTTCAAAATTATTATCACGATCATCAATGTAAGACCCAGTTATATAATTAGATGCTGCATTACTGTCTAAAATATTTATGTATACCATTAGATTATATATCAATTTATAAAAGTAACAAATTAGTTTGAAGAAAAACAATAAATATAAATACATAAAATAATTCATTAACTTTCTTGATCTCCTCAAATAAGTTAATTATATTTTATATTAAGCATCAAATGTAATATGTGAATACAAGAAGTGTGAGAGAAATACAAGAGATTACCATGCTATTAACAAATTTTTTGCCATTATTTTTTTGTCAGATTTTTGTGGGCATTATTTGAATGGCGACCTAAAAGGTTTGGAAGTGAGAAACATCAAAATGGTCTTCGTTGTCCAGTTACCATAATTCATTTTGTCCCAAAATTTTGACTGAGTATATACACCCACGAAATAGTATACCATATGTTTGATATTATAAATTAAAAG